CACATGTTGTTTGCCATGAGTGCTTCTGACAAGTCCGACTCAGACAGTGACTTCCCCGACTTGGACATCCTGTCAAAAGCACTGTTAATGTCTCTTCAAGTGACAGTAGTTTGACAACTCCTTTACTATTCCCTTAGGCAAATTCCTGTGAAGAATTTTATGTGGTGTCACCAGTGACTGTAGCATGTCACCCGTGACTGTAGCATGTCACCCGTGACTGTAGCATCATCCGTGAGTTCTCTCTCCAAGAGTACCCTTTACAGTTTTGCCTCATCTCCACTCAACACTCATTACAGAGGGCCAGAGGTGATAACACAATCTCACACCACACACTTTTTGTTTCCATTAAAGCTTGAACAAATACAAGTTTTGTTTCTCATCTTAGTCTTTGATGTCTCCAAAATGTCGATAATAAGACCAGTGAGACCAATAGCACTACAAAGATTTCTGTTTACAGAAATCGCACAAAGAGGCACCAGCAGCATCAGCTAGAGCCGTAGCTGAACCAACAATGCCAACAAGGCCGCAGAACAAATTGATAAAGCTCATGTCAACTTGCAGCGAACATCAAGGAACCAGAGTAGGCTCTGTTCCTAAATGTCATCGCTTTAACTTGCCTTTCAATGTAGCAACTAGAATTATATGCTTTGTCCCAGAGCAGCAGTGACTAACAGAAAATGACTGTAAATAAAGGGTCTTGGTTTTTATGAGGGGCACAGACAGCAGCACCAATCATGCTAGCTCCCATCGTGTGGATGCTCTTGGCAGCACTGACACCCAAGGAGACAATCAAGCCAATCGTTGATGCTCCAAACGTATAGGGAGGCACTTACCAAAAACCTGCCAAAATCAATCCTTTCACTCTGCCCAGTAATGGTGTCGCCAATACCAATAGCAATGGGGAAGAGAAGGTAGAGACAAAGTCTATACTCAACATAGTTCCTTATACCCCGTGGTTGCTTGTCTTCTGGGTGAGTGGTAAGTAAGAGCCAAACATCAGTAGTCATCATGCTGGGAGTCAGTATTAATACTCAAGTCAGCAACTTCCCGTTCTAAAGATTTCTCTATACAGATTGCCATACTCTAACTTTTTTAGGTCATCCATTTTAACCAGAAAGAAGGAACTTCCATTTGTTGTGGTAATATACTGCATCGATCCTTTTTCTTGGGTCAGACTCCTGGATGCAGGGCATCCATTTATTGGGTGGAATATAGATCAGACTCCTGGACAGGCCCCCATTTGTTGCGTATGGAGCGTTTAACATTAGGCCACACTGATCCTTGATGGGGTATCAGTTGCGATGTTGGCTCTTTGTCTCGGGGAGAACTCCAATAGCAACAAGGTTTTAATGCAGCAAATATAGCCTTTTTAACCAAAGACTTTCTTTGTTAACCTTCTTACTTTCTGTAGGATGACCAAAACTCACAAGTGAAATCCATGTCTTTAACCCTTTCAGGGTCCAAGGCCCAAATCTGGAGTCACGCACCAGTGTCCAAGATATTTAAAAAAAAAAAATTTTGTTTTTTTTTTCTTATGAAATCGAGAGAATTTTTTTGGGTAAAGGGAAATAAAAAAAAAAAGGTTACGAAAATTGGTGGAAAATTAAACAAAATTTAAGCTCTCGCAAATTTTTTGATGTGTCAGCGTTTTTAAACAAAATCGGCAAATTTTGCCGATTTTGATTTCCCATTTTGGGCCCAAATTTCCCTTTTTCCAATAAACCCAAAATTTCTTAGCAATTTCACTAGTTTTAAACTTCCCTATTTATCGTTTGGAAGCCCCAAAAAATCGCCAAGTCAACTGTTTCAACAAACAAAATAAAGGATGGGAAATTTTTAAATTTTGGGCCCAATTTAACCCAAAAAAATTCAAAATTTTCCAATTTCAAAAAGGGTCCAGAATGAACAATGTAGGGCTTTCCCGGAAAAAAAACCTAACATTTCCTCTGTTCATTATTGGGGGTTTTTGACTTTAAAAAAAAATTTCCCCATTTTGATTTTTTATTCACTTTAATAAATTTTTTATTCCCCAACCAAAAAATAAAAGATTTACTGTTATGAAATTTAATTTAATAATTGAAATAAATATCATCACCTATTTTTTGGAATTTTATTTTAGCCCCCACCACTATGTGTATTGGGACGTGTAAAGGTTGTTTGTTTACTTTTGAATATCGGCCAAAAATTTAAAAATTTCCGCTACTTTGGGGTTTCAGTTTCAAGCCTTTCCAATGCTAAACCCAATCAAAATCATCTCTATTTCTTTAAAAATTTTTCCCAAATTCTATCAAATGAGACCAAAAAACCGCAAATACAACTAAAAAAAACATCCCAAAAAAACACTGCAAAAGGTTGCTGTTTTAATCGAAAAATCATGTTTTCCCTTTTTTTTCTCCCCTTATGCCAGTGTGCTGCAGGATCTTTTTTTTATGTGGTGCACACATACCCCCTAGATGTATTCTCTCATATCTGGGCCCAAAGTACCACTCACATTTTATTCAAAAAGTGAGCTAAAGCTCATGGGTAGATCCCGGTTTGGACCCTGAACGTAAAGCCGGGAAAATCTACGGGGAAAAGGAAACCCGGAAAAAGGGGGTTTTAATAACAATAAAACTTGATAGGATCCTCCCTAAACTCTATGAAACCCTAATCTTAATATAGGGGCAATAAAATTACTTATTTTTTTTTCCTTTAAACATAAAGGGGACAATTTTATATACAAAAGCTATTGTTACCCACACAAGCGTTTTTCTGGGAAGACATAATTCCCAGTAGTAATTAGGCAATCAATATATAATGGGAAATAACTGATACTTGCTAACGTAACCCCTTTTCAATTCCCCCAGCGAGACATTAAATTCAAATTATCCCCTACAGGAAGTTTTTATCAATAACCCTGCAAGGGGTCTGAAAATGGGGGGGGGGGGGGGGGGGGGGAAAGAGAACCTAGAAAAACACAGATAAAACTAGGTGTGAGGGGTACAAAACAGGTTAAATACTTTCCCGGGGTGAGTGGGGGAACCTACTTTTCCTATACCCCTTGAGGTAAGCTGATGCAGGTTGGGTCACAAAACTTTGAGGGGGACAGGCCAGGGACCTGAACTAGTAACCGGCCCAAAAAAAAATCTAACTGGTGGTTTCCCACTACATGAAAATCACATGCTTAACCCTTTGATTGTTTCGGCCGTATATATACGTCTTATGAGGTACCGTGTTTGACATATATAGTATACTCATAAACTCTAGCGGCTTCAAATCAAGCAGGAGAAAGCTGGTAGGCCCACATGTGAGAGAATGGGTCTGTGTGGTCAGTGTGCACCATATAAAACAAATCCTGGAGCACGTAGTGCATAATGAGAAAAAAAAACTCCGACCATTTTTTTTAATTAAAATGCCAACTTTGTGGTCTATTTTCATATAGTATTTATGGTTGTATTCTCGTTTTCTTGGAAAACATATTATAGAAATAGAGGTGATTTTGATTGGTTTTACTATAAAAAGAACCTTGAAATGGAGCTCAAAGTAGGGGAAATGTTTGATTTTTACTGATGTTCAAAAGTAAACAAATGATGTCATTGTCCAATAAATGTCCAAGTAGCCATTCTAATATGCAGTCATGAATGGGTTGACATTATTTGTACAATTATTACAATATTGCAGTAGTCTGCATAACAGTAAATCTTCTATTTTTTGTTTGAATAAAAATTCAAAATAGAAAGCAAGAGTAATATCAGAGGAGCCTGGAGACATGACTGATGAATAAAGAAAATGTTATTTTAGAGCCAGGAATGTCTGCATTGTTCATTCTGGACCTTATTTTGAAATTGTCACATTTTTTAATTTTCATGAAATTGGCCAAATTGCAAATTTCTGACCACATTATTGGGTAGTTGAGATTGGTAAATGGGCAGTTTCTTGTACTCAATCGATAGAAAAAATTGAGTTCTAAACAAATAGCTATGAGTTTGGTCAACTGGAACAATGGAATTAGCCAAAAATAGGGCTCAAATTGGGCGAAATCGCCTATTTGTAAATATCGCTGAGGTCGCTAACTTCGCTAGAGCGTCAGTTTTCTGACACTCTAGCGTCAGTTCTGTCAGTTTTCCATCAAAATACATTTTTTTTTTTTGGTGCCATTACAATCCTTAAAAGATTCTCTATCATTTCATAAGAAAAAATCATTTTTTTTTTTTTTTTTAAATTTTGCAACACCAGGAGACACCTCAGGATTGGGGGTTGCGACAGTCAAAAGGTTAATATAATGCCAAACAAAACAACATAATATAATACAATATTAGCATTAACATATATACAATAAAATGTTGGGCATGGGCATAATTCGCAACAAATGATAAGTTTGAAATTGGCTTGTAGTTGTTTACATCTGTGGGGTCACCACCTTTGTGTATTGGTGTGACCCTGGCTATCTTGAGTAGTGCCGGGAAAGTACTGGTTTCTAGTGATTTGTTAAAGAGTAATGAAATAGCAGGTGAGAGAACATGAACCACTCGTTTGTACAATAATGGAGGAACTTGAGCCAGATTTCCTGATTTATTTTTAAGTGACTTAATAATCGCAGTGACTTCTGTGGGCTCGGTAGGTGCAAGATAGGAGGTTGAGAAATTCTCATCTAAGTAATCGCTTGCTTGTGCGTTGGTACCTGGAATTTTACTGGCGAGATTTGATCCTATAGTTGAAAAAAGTCATTTATCTTGTTAGTTGTATCAGTAGGCTGTTGTTGGGCTTCATTTGGTTTAGTTTGGCAGCATTGCTTTAATTCTATTTTCACCACTGCAAGTGCACATTTTGCATCTATGGTTCTTCATTTTAGATTAAGTGTCGTGTCTACAAGTTTGTTGCTTAATTCTACAAACAGTATCCTGAACTCCACAAAGATCTGTACCATATTAAATATGTTTTGTCACTTTGAAATTTGAGTAGTGTTTTAATTTTACCTTAGAATACTGTATTCTAACATCATATATTAATTCTGTCAACAGTTCTGTTCCAATGATCCAGATACCTTCGTGGAGGCATGTAGGCTTGCAGCACCAAACTGTGATGCTGTTGATTTAAATTTGGGATGCCCTCAGGCCATTGCTCGCCGGGGACACTATGGAGCCTTCCTTCAGGATGAGTGGAGCCTTATACGCACCATGAGTATGTTATTTATGCTTTTGTAAACTGTACATAGAACTGTTTTGCATTACCTTATTACTACATGGCATTTTATCTTAAAGTGATGCAGTTGAGAATACTTTTTTATCATGGTTACTGGTTAGTAATTCCATAGCAAAGTAAAGAAAGGTGCATTTTATCAATCCTATGCAAAATGTGTGCAGGCCCTGATCCACTGGGAGGCCTGGTCTGGTACTGGGCCATGGGGGCATTCATCCTTGGAACACTCTCCAAGTATACTTCAGAACCAAAACCAAATTAACATTATGAGTAGCCCAAGGATCAGGTAATATTTGAGGCCTCCCTCATAATTTATGTAATCATAAAAATTCATTAGGAAAATTGCAAGTAATTATCATATACTGTAGTTACAAGTGGCAACTTCATTCAATACAGAAACTAATTTTATATGAAAGCACATTTTAATATCTTTCCTGTTACAGAACCAAAAAATAATACTTTAACACTTTCATCGTCTCTTATGTAGATCTACATTATTGATGTCAGGGTTGCATATGTAGATCTACTCATAAATTCTAATGTCCTCAGATTTGGCACTAGAGGCCTGGTAGATCTGCATGTAAGAGAATGAATCTGTGTTGTCAGTGTGTGTATGTGTGTGTGTGCAGTATACAAAAAATCAGGGCTGCCACAGTACATTGTGGGAACACCATCTTTAGTACACTTTGTTCATGATGCTACATGAACACAAAAGACTCACTCCCAGGCACATTCAATGGATTTTATTTCCCAGTGATAGCTCCATCAATGAGGATGATGGAACCGAGGATGAGTTCTCTGGTTTTGAACGTTTAATTACTGAAAGTGACACTCAGAAATCCAGAAATATCACTGAAAACCAGGGTAACCTACAACCATCCATGTCTGGGGTTTTTTAATACAGAACTCGCCCACCACTCTGTATTAGAAAACCTGTATTCATCCGTGGCTTGGGCACAGATGTGAGTACTGATGATGAATGTTGTGATGTGAACTTTGATTTCCTAGCAATCGATGACCAGTCCAGTAATAGTGAAGATGATTATTTGGCTGTGAAGCATCAATATTGCTCTGCACACAGTCTGGTAGTGTGTTTATTACTATCCACAGGGAACATAGTACATCCTGGGACCCAACACTGGTGACAGACAGTGATAGTGAGGATGATAGTGCATCATTGATGTGGGTAGTAGCAGGGGTCAATGCTGGTGCCACAGGTGGTGGCACAAAGAGCCACTTGGCATCAATGCAAGTGCAGTCTGGGAGCCATGCTTCACAATGCCCACCCCAACAACCCACATGGCAGCCACCACTCTCACACAACCACTATTAGAACAACCATTACAACCAGCCACAGATATCCAGCAACTGCCTCCAGAATGTAACTGAGATTGGCAGGAGGACACAGATTTTGTGCCCAGTCCCTATCAGTATGAGGACACACAGTGGAATCCAGCCCAACTGTACCCTTGGGAATGATGCCAGTGAACTTGAATTCTTTGAGCTATATTTTGATGGTTTCTTGATGCAAATTATAGTGAGGGAAACCCACAGATACTTCCAGTATACAATGGCAAACACGTTAGTTTCACCACAATCGTGGCTGCACCAATGGAAGGACAGAACTTTGGCTGAGATGTATTTCTTCTTTGCCCCAATAATGTTTATGTCACATGTGTATAAGCATAATGGTTTAGCATTCTGGCTGACTGACCACCTTATATGTACTCCCACTGTCAGTGATCTCATCCCCATCAACAGACTTATTCTGCTGCTATGTATGCTACACTTCTCAGACAAAACCATGGATGTTTTTATGTATCGAAAACAGAAGTTCAGTGTGTATGTGTTATCAAAGAGTCTTTGAGCCTTTTCAAAAGCAGACTGTTGTTCAAGCAGTATATACAGATCAAGCAAGAGGAAATGCTTTGGTATCAAGCTGTTCATGTTTAGAAACTGGTCTGGTATTGGGTCTGATTATGTTCACAGGAAGCAAAACATTGAAAGATACCAGATTATTGGACATTTCAGGCGATGTGGTGAGAAAAATTATGGAATCTTATTTTGGTGAGGGGCATATATTATATTCAGTGATTTCCTGCATGTGAACATAATAGACGTGTGTGGTACAGTGTATGGAAAACATAAACATTTGCCCAGCTTCAAAACAGGCACTGGTACTAGTAAGGTGCAGGTGTCTCAAGCCTATGACATCATAACATTTCAGTGGTATGATAAACGTGATGTGATATTGCCGACATCAATTCAACAGCATGAAATGAAACACACTAGAAGGATGAATAGAGAAACTAATGAACCCATTCTGAGACCAGTTGCTGTCATGCATTACACTGCCAATATGCATTTGGTGGACAGATATGACATGCAGACTGGATTAGCAGATTGTATCTGCAAGAGTTACAGGTGGTACATTAAACTCTTCTTCTATCTTGTGGACATTGCAATTCTCAGTGCATACCATACCATACCACCATATTCTCGCTTTTGTTTGTCTATTATCAAGCAAATAATACACAAATACCAGGTCACAACACCTGCATTACACATGTGCTGCCATACAGATCACCATATATCCTCTTATTTGAAGTTTGGTGATTACGACACTTCTTGCTACAAACAAAAAAAAATGGGCTCAGAATAGATATTATGGCTGTGCACACACAACAAGACACCCAATAAAGCAAAAGGATGCTCGTATGTGTGAAAAGTGTATAACATCACTGTGCTTCAAGGTCAGTTCTAGAAACATGACAAGTGTCTATAAAGGTATGTAAATGAAGGAAGTTAAAAGTGAACATAGATAAGAGAAAGATGATGAGGGTATCAAAGAAGTTAGGTAAAGAAAAATTAGATATCATGCTGGAGGGAGGGAGTATGGAAGAAGTGAATGTGTTCAGATATTTGGAAGTAGATTTATCAGTGGATGGGTTTATGAAGGATGAGGTTAACCATAGAATAGATGAAGGAAAAATGGTGAGTGGAGCATTAAGTAGGTTGGTAGACAGCAACCACCCAGGGAAGTACTACCGTCCTGCCAGATGACTGTGAAACAGAAACCTGTAACTGTTTTGCATGATGGGAGGATTGCTGGTTTCTTTTTCTGTCTCATAAACACGCTAGATAACAGGAATATCTTGCTACTCCTACTTACACTTTGGTCACACTTCACAGACATGCACATGCATATATATATACATACATCTAGGTTTTTCTCCTTTTTCTAAATAGCTCTTGTTCTTCTTTATTTCTTCTATTGTCCATGGGGAAGTGGAAAAGAATCTTTCCTCCATAAGCCATGCGTGTCGTATGAGGCGACTAAAATGCCGGGAGCAATGGGCTAGTAACCCCTTCTCCTGTAGACATTTACTAAAAAAGAGAAGAAGAAAAACTTTATAAAACTGGGATGCTTAAATGTGCGTGGATGTAGTGCGGATGACAAGAAACAGATGATTGCTGATGTTATGAATGAAAAGAAGTTGGATGTCCTGGCCCTAAGCGAAACAAAGCTGAAGGGGGTAGGGGAGTTTCAGTGGGGGGAAATAAATGGAATTAAATCTGGAGTATCTGAGAGAGTTAGAGCAAAGGAAGGGGTAGCAGTAATGTTGAAATGATCAGTTATGGAAGGAGAAAAGAGAATATGAATGTGTAAATTCAAGAATTATGTGGATTAAAGTAAAGGTTGGATGCGAGAAGTGGGTCATAATAAGCATGTATGCACTGGAGAAGAGAGGAATGCAGAGAGAGAGAGAGATTTTGGGAGATGTTAAGTGAATGTATAGGAGCCTTTGAACCAAGTGAGAGAGTAATTGTGGTAGGGGACCTGAATGCTAAAGTAGGAGAAACTTTTAGAGAGGGTATGGTGGTAAGTTTGGGGTGCCAGGTGTAAATGATAATGGGAGCCCTTTGATTGAACTTTGTATAGAAAGGGGTTTAGTTATAGTGTAATACGTATTTTAAGAAAAAGAAGATAAATAAGTATACAAGATATGATGTAGGGCGAAATGACAGTAGTTTGTTGGATTATGTATTGGTAGATAAAAGACTGTTGAGTAAGACTTCAGATGTACATGTTTATAGAGGGGCCACAGATATATCAGATCACTTCTAGTTGTAGCTACACTGAGAGTAAAAGGTAGATGGATACAAGGAGAATAGAAGCATCAGGGAAGAGAGAGGTGAAGTTTATAAACTAAAAGAGGAGGCAGTTAGGGTAAGATATAAACAGCTATTGGAGGATAGTGGGCTAATGAGAGCATAGGCAATGGGGTCGAAGAGGTATGGGGTAGGTTTAAAAATGTAGTGTTAGAGTGTTCAACAGAAGTTTGTGGTTACAGGAAAGTGGGTGCGGGAGGGAAGAGGAGCGATTGGTGGAATGATGATGTAAAGAGAGTAGTAAGGGAGAAAAAGTTAGCATATGAGAAGTTTTTACAAAGTAGAAGTGATGCAAGGAGGGAAGAGTATATGGAGAAAAAGAGAGAGGTTAAGAGAGTGGTGAAGCAATGTAAAAAGAGAGCAAATGAGAGAGTGGGTGAGATGTTATCAACAAATTTTGTTGAAAATAAGAAAAAGTTTTGGAGTGAGATTAACAAGTTAAGAAAGCCTAGAGAACAAATGGATTTGTCAGTTAAAAATAGGAGAGGAGAGTTATTAAATGGAGAGTTAGAGGTATTGGGAAGATGGAGGAATATTTTGAGGAATTGTTAAATGTTGATGAAGATAAGGAAGCTGTGATTTCGTGTATAGGACAAGGAGGAATAACATTTGTAGGAGTGAGGAAGAGCCAGTTGTGAGTGTGGGGAAGTTCGTGAGGCAGTAGGTAAAATGAAAGGGGTAAGGCAGCCGGGATTGATGGGATAAAGATAGAAATGTTAAAAGCAGTGTGGATATAGTTTTGGAGTGGTTGGTGCAATTATTTAATAAATGTATGGAAGAGGGTAAGGTACCTAGTTATTGGCAGAGAGCATGCATAGTTCCTTTGTATAAAGGCAAAGGGGATAAAAGAGAGTGCAAAAATTATAGGGGGATAAGTCTGCTGATTATACCTGGTAAAGTGTATGGTAGAGTTATTATTGAAAGAATTAAGAGTAAGACGGAGAATAGGATAGCAGATGAACAAGGAGGCTTTAGGAAAGGTAGGGGGTGTGTGGACCAGGTGTTTACAGTGAACATATAAGTGAACAGTATTTAGATAAGGCTAAAGAGGTCTTTGTGGCATTTATGGATTTGGAAAAGGTGTATGACAGGGTGGATAGGGGGCAATGTGGCAGATGTTGCAAGTGTATGGGTAGGAGGTAGGTTACTGAAAGCAGTGAAGAGTTTTTACGAGGATAGTGAGGCTCAAGTTAGAGTATGTAGGAAAGAGGGAAATTATTTCCCAGTAAAAGTAGGCCTTAGACAAGGATGTGTGATGTCACCGTGGTTGTTTAATATATTTATAGATGGGGTTGTAAGAGAAGTAAATGCGAGGTCTTGGCAAGAGGCGTGGAGTTAAAAGATAAAGAATCACACACAAAGTAGGAGTTGTCACAGCTGCTCTTTGCTGATGACACTGTGCTCTGGGAGATTCTGAAGAGAAGTTGCAGAGATTGGTGGATGAATTTGGTAGGTGTGCAAAAGAAGAAAATTAAAGGTGAATACAGGAAAGAGTAAGGTTATGAGGATAACAAAAAGATTAGGTGATGAAAGATTGAATATCAGATTGGAGGGAGAGAGTATGGAGGAGGTGAATGTATTCAGATATTTGGGAGTGGACGTGTCAGCGGATGGGTCTATGAAAGATGAGGTGAATCATAGAATTGATGAGGGGAAAAGAGTGAGTGGTGCACTTAGGAGTCTGTGGAGACAAAGAACTTTGTCCTTGGAGGCAAAGAGGGGAATGTATGAGAGTACAGTGGACCCCCACATCGATCACCTCCGAATGCGACCAATTATGTAAGTGTATTTATGTAAGTGCGTTTGTACGTGTATGTTTGGGGGTCTGAAATGGACTAATCTACTTCACAATATTCCTTATGGGAACAAATTCGGTCAGTACTGGCACCTGAACATACTTCTGGAGTGAAAAAATATCGTTAACCGGGGGTCCACTGTATAGTTTTACCAACGCTCTTATATGGGTGTGAAGCATGGGTGATGAATGTTGCAGCGAGGAGAAGGCTGGAGGCAGTGGAGATGTCATGTCTGAGGGCAATGTGTGGTGTGAATATAATGCAGAGAATTCGTAGTTTGGAAGTTAGGAGGAGGTGCGGGATTACCAAAACTGTTGTCCAGAGGGCTGAGGAAGGGTTGTTGAGGTGGTTCGGACATGTAGAGAGAATGGAGCGAAACAGAATGACTTCAAGAGTGTATCAGTCTGTAGTGGAAGGAAGGCGGGGTAGGGGTCGGCCTAGGAAAGGTTGGAGAGAGGGGGTAAAGGAGGTTTTGTGTGCGAGGGGCTTGGACTTCCAGCATGGTATGCGTGAGCATGTTTGATAGGAGTGAATGGAGACAAATGGTTTTTAATACTTGACGTGCTGTTGGAGTGTGAGCAAAGTAACATTTATGAAGGGGTTCAGGGAAACTGGCAGGCCGGACTTGAGTCCTGGAGATGGGAAGTACAGTGCCTGCACTCTGAAGGAGGGGTGTTAATGTTGCAGTTTAAAAACTGTAGTGTAAAGCACCCTTCTGGCAAGACAGTGATGGAGTGAATGATGGTGAAAGTTTTTCTTTTTCGGGCCACCCTGCCTTGGTGGGAATCGGCCAGTGTGATTAAAAAAAAAAAAAAAACATTATATTTGGAGGCAAAGAAGGGAATGTACAAGAGTATAGTGGTACCAACACTCTTATATGGGTGTGAAGCATGGGTTGTAAATGCTGCAGCAAGGAGGAGGCTGGAGACAGTGGAGATATTATCATGTCTAAAGGCAATGTGTGGTGTAAATATTATGCAGAGAATTTGTAGTGTGGAAATTAGGAGGTGGTTTGGAGGTACTAAAAGTATTATTCAGAGGGTGGAGCAAAATAGGATGACTTGGAAGGTGTATAAATCTGTAGTGGAGGGGAGGAGGGGTAGGGGTCATCCTTGGAAAGGATGGAGGGAGGTGGTAAAAGAGGTTTTGTGTGCAAGGGTCTTGGACATGCAGTAGGCATGTGTGAGGCATGTTAGATAGGAATGAATGAAGATGAATAGTTTTGGGGACCTGACAAGCTGTTGGAGTGTTAGCAGGGTAACATTTTGTGGAGGAATTTAGGTAAACCGGTTAGCCAGACTTGAATCCTGGAGGTGGAAAGTACAATGCCTGCACTTTAAAGGAGGGGTTTGGGATATTGGCTGTTTGGAGTGACATCTAAACTGTCGTATCTGGGTGCCTCTGTAAAGACAGTCATTATGTGTGAATGATGGTGAAAGTGTTACTTTCTTTTTTGTG